CCCCGCCCCCTCCCCCAGCCTCCCGTCTCTCCCCCTCTCTTCAAGTGAGGGGCATGAGCATCATTCTTAATTTACGGAAGGCACGCAAATCGGTGGGTGTGTTGGTGTGAAAATTCGACTTTCCAACACGTCGACATATGTTTGAATGTATGTGAAGGTTGGATGGTGGAGGAGGGGGAGAGGGAGGGGGAGAGGAGGGTGAAACTAGTGAACTCAGCCAGGAAGTTAGCCAGCCTCGTTCACACATACTCAACATTCACTCAGATATACCCGTCATCCAGGGGAAAATGTAGGAATGTGCCCTTTTTCGTCGGCGGTCGACACATCAGCATCTTGTTTTTTTGGCGGACAGGCTGGTAGGTATTTGGTGGTGGTGGCGGTGGTGGAGGTGGTGGTAGAAGGAGGAGGAAAGCTGGGGAGATACGAGGAGAACCAAATAGGCGGCTAGTAATCTGGGACACTTGAGAAAAGGTGTTCCCATAGAGCTTGTTTTTCGCTCCTGCCTGCTTGCTACTACAACTCCATATGTAACGAGTTGTATTTGTGTGTTGATACTCACCTAGAGTATAAGTAAGGGAAGACTTCTCTCTCTCTCAGACGGATTTCGTGTCTTTACATTGGGGACAACAACTTCCTTTCGCCTTACTATGCAGAGATTATTTCTTCATGTCTCCTCCATATCATTCCTACTTGCGCCCATCTTAAGCCAGAATGTTTGACCAATATTTTTAGTACTATCTTTAATGACCTTTGTGGATATTTATATCTGATTGAGGAAATTTTTTTTCAATTTAAATGTCTTTGTTAGTGCAGTTGCAAAATAGTCTTAAATTCAAACTAATTTATGCCGAAAAATCGACCATAGCGACTGTAAATATTGTCTTATTTTATTTTAGAAATACTTGAAAGCGAAAAAAGGCCTAAAAATTTGACAGACTGCATTAGTAGCAAATTCATTCTGGGAGCTTAGTAAATAGGAATTTGTAATTAGAAAGCATCGTCTACTTCGGTAGGATTCTATTATAGAAAGACATCAATATCTCTTCATGTGCTCACTATTTCTGCACTAGGAACCATTATGAAACCTGATTTCGACTGATGGCTTGCTTGCTGTACATTCTGACTTCCAAAGCATTTAAAATAGATAGGGAACACTACTTTTTGGAAATAGTACTTGGTGGTACCTGATTTGTAAAACCCAAGCTATTTTCCTAGTTAAAGTTCTTCACAAGGTAGGATATTTGCTTGCTGTTGCTTAAGATTTGAAATTCACATCTTTGTGATAAAGAAAGAAACGTAAAGTTTTACTCTACCACTGACAACTGTTGGGCAATGTTGGTTTAAAAGTCCATCAATGATATTTCAGGTGTTTTAACGGGGGAGGGGAGGGGGTGTGACATAATTGTTATGTCTTACTTATCTAAACAAACGAACGGAATAGTTTTTATCAGAGTGAGATTTGTGAACACAGATGACAGTACAATTAGGTCAAAGGAGGAGGGAGTGGGAGGAGGGGTTGATTTAAGTAAGTAAGCGAATGGAGTAACTCCAGATCACCGAAGTGCTATTACTTTTTGGAAC